CGATTTTCTCGAAACTTGGCAGACATCATTCTAGGCTCAATTCAGTACGTTATGCCAAATTTCGTGCAAATCGAAGGACATATACGGACTTTGGTGCACAATTTATATGAAATCGGACGAAACTATATATGGGAGCTATATCTAAATCAGGACCGATTTTCACGAAACTTGACAGACATCATTCTAGGCTCAATTCTGTACGTTATGCCAAATTTCGTGCAAATCGAAAGATATATAGGGACTTTGGGGCACCATTTACATGAAATCGGACGAAACTATATATAGGAGCTATATCTAAATCTGGACCGATATTTGGCATACAGTACGATATGCCAAATTTCGTGCAAATCGAAAGATATATAGGGACTTTGGGGCACCATTTACATGAAATCGGACGAAACTATATATGGGAGCTATATCTAAATCTGGACCGATTTTCTCGAAACTTGGCAGACATCATTCTAGGCTCAAGTCAGTACGTTATGCCGAATTTCGTGCAAATCGAAAGATATATAGGGATTTTGGTGCACCATTTACATAAAATCGAAGGAAACTATATATGGGAGCTATATCTAAATTAGGACCGATTTTCTCGAATCTTGACAGACATCACTCTAAGCTCAATTCAGTACGTTATGCTAAATTTCGTGCAAATCGAAGGATATATAGGGACTTTGGTGCACCATTTACATGAAATCGGGCGAAACTATATATGGGAGCTATATCTAAATCTGGACCGATATTCTCGAAACTTGGCAGACATCACTCTAGGCTTAATTCAATACGTTATGCCAAATTTCGTGCAAATCGAAATATATATAGGGACTTTGGGGCACCATTTACATGAAATCGGACGAAACTATACATGGAAGCTATATCTAAATCTTGACCGATTTTCACGAAACTTAGCAGGCATCATTCTAGACCTAAATGATTAGGCTGTACCAAATTTCGTGCAAATCGAAAGATATATAGGGACCGTTTACATTAAATCGGTTAAATATATATATGGGAGCTATATCTAAATCTAAACCGATTTTTCCCAATTTCAATAGGGTTCGTCCTTGGACCAAACAAATGAGCTGTGCCAAATTTCATCCAATTCGGATAATAAATGCGACCTGTACTTTGCTCACAAAAATACATGGACAGACAGACAGACAGACGGACGGACGAACATGCATAAATCGACTTAGAAAGTGATTCTATGCATATTCTCAAAAGGAACCATGTGTCTATCTCGTTTCCTTTTGCCTGTTACAAACATATGCACAAAGACATAATACCCTGTACCACAGTGTGGTGAGGGGTATAAAAATCCACGACCTATTTGGGCGTCTAGATAAGATATTTACAAAATCTACGGCTTTTATAGGTCCATCATTTTTTTTCAATCCATCGTCATCGATTTGTTTGTATGCCTTCTACCTCTTAGTTGTTTTCCTAGTCTCTTTGTGTCATTTGTCGAACGAACCTTTCGTGATGCCAGTCACGTAATATTTATAGGTACTTTGAGACTTATGAATGGCAGGACATGACCAAATACCAGGCATTCTATTGATAACAGAGGCATTGATGCCAAGGCTAATTTGTTAGACCTGATGTAAAAATTTGTTTCTTCGCTTCCTTTACAAATGAGAATTGTTGTATGACTTAGAACATGTCGGATGTTGCCGCTAATAAAGATTACATGGAAATAGAAATCATTATCATTCGACTTAGTGGAGAAAATAATTGACACATTTTATATTGGGGAAAACAAAATTTAAATTGATATGAGAAAAGTTTTTTAGTCTCGTTAAAGATTACGGAAAAAGAATTTACATGACATTACATTACATACATTTTTTTGTAGCCCTTATGACATTTTTTTCGCCACCCCAAACCTCTCTGAAAATCAGAAACCCTTTCATATTATGCGTCACAATACTTATAATAGCTCTAAATTTTATAGATATTTTCTTTTTATTTTCAACATTTCTGAACTGAAATAAACATTTCCAACAAATCTGTATACAAAACTTTCTTTGTGTATAGAAAATTATGTTCTACAAATTGTTGTTAAAAATATTTCAAAACTGTTTTTTTGTATGTGTGTGTGTTTGTTTTTAAACTTATACCATTCAATTATTAATTTCTATCATAATTTTCAACAAAAAAAAATTTTGAAACAAAGTTTTGAATTGCTCATAAACATATATTGTCTCGTAAAACAACAGATTAAATTAATGGCGTACACACATACGTATACATATTGACAAACCGTATACGCACCATGGGTGGTAGTTTAAAATGAATAAATATTCTAAAGGATAGAGAGGATTCTTTAAAAAAATTCTTAAGACCTAACAGAAGAGTGGATTTGTTTAACAAAATTTTGAGTATTCAAAATTTGCTTGGATTTTGAAGAATTAAAAATATTTTTAAATTTTTTTCTAGAAGACCACCAATAGGCGTGGATTTTTATATCCTTCGCCAAACTGTGGTACAGGGTATTATGTCTTTGTGCATATGTTTGTAACAGGCAAAAGGAAACGAGATACATACATGGTTCCTTTTTAGAATATGCATAGAATCACTTTCTAAGTCGATTTATTCATGTCCGTTCGTCCGTCCGTCCGTCAGTCCGTCTATCTGTCCATGTTAAATTGTAAACAAAATACAGGTCGCATTTATGATCCGAATTGAATGAAATTTGGCATAGGTTACTTATTTGGCCCAAGGACGGACCCTATTAAAATTGGGAAAAATCGGTTCAGATTTAGATATAGCTCCCATATATATTTAATGTAAATGGTGTACCAAAGTCCCTATATATCTTTCGATTTGCACGAAATTCGGCATAGTGAACTGAATTAGGTCTAGAATGGAGTGTGTTAAATTTCGTGAAAATCGGTTCAGATTTAGATATAGCTCCCATATATATTTTGGTCCGATTTTATGTAAATGGTGTGTCAAAGTCCCTATATATAGCACTGAACGGAGTCTAGATTGATGTGTGCTAAGTTTCGTTGAAATCGGTTCAGATTTAGATATAGATCCCATGTATATTTTCGTCCGATTTAGTGTAAATGGTGCACCAAAGTCACTATGTATCGTTTGATTTGCACGAAATTTGGCATAGTGTACTAAATTAGGTCTAAAATGATGTTTGTTAAGCTTCCTGAAAATCGGTTCAGATTTTGATATAGCTCCCATGTATATTTTCGTCCGATTTAAGGTAAATGCTTCACCAAAGTCCCTATATATCCTTCGATTTGGACGAAATTTGGCATAGCGTACTGATTTAAGTCTAGAAAGATGTGTGTTAAGTTTCGTGAAAATCTGTCCTGATTTATATATAGCACCCATATATATTTTTGTCCGATTTTATGTAAATGGTGCACCAAAATCACTAAATATCGTTTGATTTGCACGAAATTTGGCATAACGTAATGAATTAGGTCTAGAATGATGTGTGTTAAGTTTCCTGAAGATCGGTCCAGATATAGATATAGCTGCCATATATATTTTCGTCCGATTTAATGTAAAGGGTGTACCAAAGTCCCTATATATCTTTCGATTTGCACGAAATTTGGCATAACGTAATGAATTAGGTCTAGAATGATGTGTGTTAAGTTTCCTGAAAATCGGTTCAGATCTAGATATAGCTCCCATATATATTTTCTTCCGATTTAAGGTAAATGCTGACCAAAGTCCCTATATATCTTTCGATTTGGAAGAAATTTGGCATAGCGTAATGAATTAGGTCTAGAATGATGTGAGTTAAGTTTCGTGAAAATTGGTTCAGATTTAGACATAGCTCCTATATATATTTTCGTCCGATTTAATGTAAGTGGTGCACCAAAGTCCACATATATCTTTCGATTTGCACGAAAATTGGTATAGTGTAATTAATTGGGTCTAGAACGATGCGTGTTAAGTTTCCTGAAAATCGGACGAGATTTAGATATAGCTCCCATATAGATTTTCGTCCGATTTTAATTAAATGGTGTGCCAAAGTCCCTATAGATCTTTCGATTTGCACGAAATTTGGTATAGTGCAATGAATTAGGTCCAGAAAGATGTGTGTTAAATCTCGTGAAAATAGGTTCAGATTTACATATAGCTCCCATATATATTTTCCTCCGATTTTATGTAAATGGTGTACCAAGGCCTCCTCGATTTGCTGGGAATTTGGCATAGCATATTGAATTAGGTCTAGAATGATGTGTGCAAAGTTTCCTGAAAATCGGTCCAGATTTAGATATAGCTCCCATATATATTTTCATCCGATTTTGGTAAATAATCCACTAAAGTCCCTGGAAATCTTTTGATTTACTCGAAATTTGGCACAGCATACTGAATTAGGTCTAGAATGATGTGTGTTAAGTTTCGTGAAAATCGGTTCAGATTTAGATATAGCTCCCATATGTATTGTCGTCCGACTTTATGTAAAGTGTGCACCAAAGTACCTATACAACCGATTTTATGTAAGTGGTGCACCAAAGTCCCTATATATCCTTCTGACCAAAATTTAGTATAGGTTGCAGAATGACATGTTTAATTTCATGTTAATGGTTCTTCAAAAATCCGACGTCTGTTAGGATTCCATCTGTATACCCAAAGTGGTGAAGGGTATCATATAGTCGGCCCGTCCGACGTTACTACTTTCCTTACTGGTTTTAAATATTTTTTTTCGGAGACCTACATAAAGCGTGGAATTTTTTAATAATTTTTCTAGAGGCCTATTTTGTTTAATATTTTTTTGAGGACCCATATTACATTACATGTAAATATATATAAACAAAATAAATCATTTGTAATTATGTAAATTTATACTTTCAACCGCAATGAGAATTGTTTTAATATAAATTTTATTATCCGTTTAGTGGGGTGATATGATATATAGTGTTATTTCCAAGACCTCAGATCATTGCATGATCTGAAGGGTATTTAAAGCCCTTTGAGTTTATTACCACCTCATTGAGAGATTTTATCTGCACCGCTCCTGACTAGCCATGGGTAAGAATTGTTTTGTGATTATTGAAAATTTATTTTTTTATCGTTTTTATTTCGTTTTTACCTCCAAATTGTCTTTATAGCCGACATTTGGATTCCATCTTCCGCCCATCAACCTTTGCCTGAATTTACCGTTATAGGTGGCCATGACTCTGACCACTCTACAATATATGTGGGTCGTGCCGAACACAATGGTGAGATGTTGGCGGCCAAAGTTATACCCAGCAAAGGATGTGCCTATGTGGCGTGGGGTGGCAAGGAACATGCCAAGCACAACTATGAGCTTCTCAGAGGTCCCGGCTATAGTTGGGTACAATGTGAATATGGTCAAGTACCAGCCAATGCCGTGGTGACCGGCCATAGCGATGACGGTGAACCGTTGTATATCGGCCGTGGTCCACACTGCGGCAGTTTGAGTATCGGTAAAGTTCATTCGTCACATGGCTGTCTCTATATACCCTATGGCGGTCAAGAAATAAGTTTGGATCATTATGAAATTTTGGTACGTGACCCCAGAGATATATGGGTGCCATCGGGATTACACTCAACACCAGCAAATGCTGTAGTGGCTGGTCGTGACACTGATGGCAGTGTTATTTATGTAGCTCGTGCCCTAAGCAATGGTGTCATGGTACCGGCTAAATTTATACCAGGTCGTTGTGAGGCCTATGTCGCCAGCGATGGTAATGAGGTTCGCACGCCCACAGTAGAAGTACTAGTGGGTATTAATTATGCTTGGGTTCCAGTTTGCAATGGTAATATACCTCCGAATGCCGTGTACTGTGGCCACACGTCCACCAACGAACCAAATTATATTGGTCGAGCTCATTATAATGGTAGCATAACACCAGGTCTAGTATTACCGGATAATGATAGTGTTTTAATAACCTATGGTGGACAAGAAGCTTGTATTGGGCCTTATGAAATTTTGACTAGATTTTAGATGTAACCAAACGGAATTGTGAATAAAACAGGAAGTTAATAAAAATCATTTTCTAAAATTTAAATAAAAATATATATGAAATATACATGTAAAAATATTTTAAAAAAAAGTAAGGAAAGTAGTAAAGTCGGACGGGGCCGACTATATGATACCCTTCACCACTTTGGGTATATTGTACATATGTACCTTTACAATTGCATGTCAATGTTCGTCTGCGTAATATGGACAAACTTATGGAAAACGATGTATAGCAAAATTGATACACGATATTCGGTACGTCGCACAGTTAAAATTTTTTATTTCAATCAGACACCCGTTCGAAATACATATGTAAGCTATGTCTAGATCTGCAAAAATTTCAACAACACCCAATAATATCATTTCGGTCTCAATTTGCTAAGTTGTGCAAACTTTCGTGTTAATCGGACAAATATTAGGAGTTTGGAACACCATTTCTATAAAATCGGGAGCTATATCTAAATCTGAGTCGATTTTCACGAATATTACCACTCATCGTTCTAGATTTAATCCCGTACGCTATAATTCCGTGCAAATCGAAAGCTTTCGTGCACGATTTATATAAAATCGGACGAAAATATATATGGGAGCTATATCTTAATCTGAACCGATTTTCACGAAATTTAGCACACATCATTCTAGACATAATTCAGAACTCTGTGCCAAATTTCGTGCAAATCGAAAGATATATAGGGACTTTGGAGCACCATTTACATAAAATCGGACGTAACTATATATGTACCGATTTTCACGAAACCTGGCTGACATCATTCTAGGCTCCATTCAGTACGTTATGTCAAATTTCTTTCAAATCGAAAGATATATAGCGACTTTGGTGCACAATTTACATAAAATCGGACGGACCGATTTTCACGAAATTTGGCAGGTATCATTGTAGGCTCAATTCAGTAATATATATATATATAGGGACTTTGGTGCACCATTTACATAAAATCATACAAAAATATATATGGAAGCTATATCTAAATCTTAACCGATTTTCACGAAATTTAACATACATCATTGTATACATTATTTAGTACGCTGTACAAAATTTCTTGCAAATCGAATGATACATAGGGACTTTGGTATACCATTTAAATAAAATCGGATGAATATATATATGGGAGCTATATATAAATCTGAACCGATTTTCATGAAACTTAGCACACATCATTCTAGGCTTAATTCAGTACGTTGTGCCAAATTTGGTGCAAATCCAAAGATATATAGGGACTTTGGTGGACCATTTTCATAAAATCGGACGGACATATATATGGGAGCTATATCTAAATCTGACCCGATTTTCAGGAAAATTGACGCACACCATTCTACACCTAATTCAGTACGCTATGCCAAATTTCGTGCAAATCATAAGACATTTATGGACTTTAGTGCACCATTTACCTAAAATCGGACGAAAATATATATGGGAGCTATATCTAAACCTGAACCGACTTTTACAAAACTAAGCACACATCATTCCAGACATAATTCAGTAGGCTGTGCCAAATTTCGTGCAAATCGAAAGATATATAGGGACTTTCGTGCACCATTTACATAAATCGGACGAAACTATATATGGGAGCTATATCTAAATCTGGACCTAAACTCGATAGGGTCCGTCCTTGGGCTAATTCAATGAACTGTGCCAAATTTCATCCAATTCGGATCATAAATGCGACTTGTACTTTGTTTACAATGTAACATGGGCAGACGGACAGACGGAAATGCATAAATCGATTCAGAAAGTGATTCTATGCATATTCTCAAAAGGAACCATGTGTCTATCTGGATTATTTTTGCCTGTTACAAACATATGCACAAAGACATAATACCCTGTACCACATTGTGGTGAAGGGTATAAAAATCTACGCCTTATAAGGTATCTAAAAAATAAAAAATAAAAAAATTACCCTCCTATTGTGAATTCTCTAAACCTATTTTGAAACGAGTGAGCGGAGCAGTATAGTCGGGCGGGGCCGACCATACGATACCCTTCACAACTACCACAGAACTCTATCTTTTTGCGGATTTTTATTCCGAGCCTGGGTAATATTACGTGATAGTTGCACCCTCTTTCCCGATTAGAGGTCAACAGTACCTCTTCCTTACACTGACTTTTCTTTTTCCGAATATTACTAATATTCAGTACAGCCCTTCTAATTACTTGTCCACATTCCCTTCACTGTGGTTGTGAAAAAAAACAAGAAATACGTTTTCGGCCCACTTCATCTCAAAATTATTTTCTGATCATCACCGAAGATTATAGGCGCTGTCCTTGACCATAACTGAAACCTCAAGGAACATTTCAAAGGGATCAGCGCCCGCCCTTTAGTGTGGTAATGGGTTCCTAAATAATATCTGAATACGTAAGCACCTGTAAATATTTAAGTGTACCTCCCACAGCCAAGTACATACGAAAATATAATTGGTATCAATTTAATGGTCAATCACTCCTCTGGATATACTATCAACTTCTCGGGTCTATGTCCTTCAGGGACAAATATATACGCTATAGAATACAAATTTTGTAATTTTTCACACAAAAGTCAGGGTCCATTTGAACCGCTAATTATTGACCGATCCTTATCAAAACAGGCATGCTTATTCTTTTACCCGATCTCCTTCTCTATGTAAAAATTCGCGATGTTTGGGTCATAATTGCGGCCTCTAGAGCGACCAGAAAAAACCGATAAAAATTAAGTATTTGGTCCATTTCATCCCCTAGATATTAACCGATCCTTACCAAAAACAATAGGGGTCTTCATTGGCCAGAACCCATCCTACATGCAAAATTTCGGGAAGATTGGTTCATAACTATGGCCTGTATCGTGTTTACAAATTATAAGGGACAAACGGACAGAGGGATGGATGGGCGGAGACACATGTCTAGATCGACTCAGCTAGTCGAGATATGATTATCGGTATATTTAAATGTGGGTCTATGACCAATATTTCATGGCTTTACAATCTGTTGGGGCGGCACAAAGCTATAATACCCTGACAACATAGTTGTGTAGGGTACATAGTTGTGTAGGTAGAACAGCCCTATGTGCAACCCTTTTAAAAAATCGCCCTCATGGAGGGTTCGTAAGGTTAGACCTAATACCGAAATTTATCTGCAGCCCTACTCAAAAAGGATTAACAAAACGTGCTAGTCTAAGATTGCCTGAGAGGTAGCTTCTCCTGTCTGGAGAATTTATGTAAATTTCCCCACTCATATAGACGGGTGTATGTGCGTGTGTTTGGATGTAATGAAGCTACATTTCTTTAGTTAACACCTTTGTAGAAAACTATTTATCAGACCTGAGATGTGGGTATTATTTGATATCATTAAAATATTGTCCATATTTTCCTGTAAGCTTTTTCACGAACCTTTTGCAAAATTGCGAAGACGGAGAAAGAGCAAATGTAACTATTTCATGCCCCCTTTCCCCTTTTTTGGGATTATTTTATTCACTTGTCTTGATTTACCATTCCTTTTTTTTTGGCGCTGTGCTTTGCTGCCAGCCAGTGAATAAACAAAAAACCGAAATGGCATTTATTTGTTTATATGCAAATTAGGGTCACTTCGTTGCGAAGGGTGGCAGTTTTTTTCACTTTTTTTGCTTGCAGTGCTTGCTTGCCCTCCGAAATTCCCTTTTTCCATTTTTTCGGTCTCATTCGCTTTGACAATTTGTTGTGAAAATATTTTGCTGTGTAATACGAAAATCCGCATATATGTTATTTGTTTTGTTTTTGTTGTTACATTGCTTTGCGTAAATTTGTTGTCATCGTTGTCATCCCCCCTCTGTGCTGTCCTGCCCTTCGTTATCCGCTGACGACGACGCTTCATTCATTACACCACCACCGGCTTCATCAGCAGCAGCTTCAGCTTGATTTTCATCCGTTTGTTGGTGTTGAAATGTGAATGCGCACAAATCCCCATTGGAATTATGTGTAAATTTAGTGGGGACTCAGGCGAATTTCGAGTCGGTGTCATGTGTCTGGATGATGTAGGTGTGCGTGTGTGTGTGTGTGAATGTGCCTCCACTGTCTCTAGGATATCAGTGAAATTAACATATGGGTTGAAAGGTTATTTCAACAACAAATTTTATTTATTTTTAAAAATAGCAACATTTTCCCATTGTGGTCATGTTATAGTCATCGTTGTTGTTGTTGTTGCTGTTGACGCATTCAAAATGTTGACAGTACACCAAATATACATTCCGATTATAGCTGGTGTGTTAAATAAGTGATAAACGGATTTTTTAGACAAATTAACATGTTTTGGATTTATTTTAAGCCGATCGTTTTACATGTTCCGTTCGAAGGTTTAGTTTAATTTGCAAATAATTGGAATTTTAAATGATGGTATTTGAAAAAAAAATTATTTAAAAAATCCACGCCTTATATGGGTCCAGAAAAAAATATTTTAAAAATCCAAGCCTTATATTGGTTCAGAAAAAAAAAAAATATTTTAAAAATCCACGCCTTATGCGGGTCTCAAGAAAAATTATTTAAAAAATGCACGCCTTATGTAGGTATCTACAAAAATTATTTAAAAAATCCACGCCTTATGTGGGTCTCTAGAAAAATTATTTTAAAAATTTACGCCTTATGTCGGTCTCTCCACGACTTATATGGATCAGGATAAAATTAATTTAAACAAGTGAAAAAGCGGTAAGTTCGGCCGGGCCGAACTTTGGATACCCTCCACCATAGTTATATTGACAGGTACTAGAAATGAAAATATAGGGAACATACCAAAAAGTGGACCTATACCGACATTTCTAAACCATAATAAAAATTTTAGACATTTTTAAAGGATAATTATACCCTCAGCCCTATGGCTAATGAGGGTGTATACACTTTACACGGTGAAAATGTGCCTCATCGAAATATTGGTTGTAGACCCCATGTTTCTTTGGACCAAATTCGTTTCAGAAAATTTAGATTTCATCCGAACTTTGCCCATCTTATTATTTCTTCCAAGCTTAGTTCAAATTCGAAAATGGGGAATATCGGTCCACTCCTTCCAAACTCAAAACGCGGAACAAATCAGATAAATATTTTAATATAAAAATGGGGGTTATATGGGGACTACCCCAAAAAGGGGGCGAATATACATATTTTGTGGTAGGGAAATTTGTTACCATATACGACTGCAAAATACCAAATTGCAGCAAATTCGGTTGAAAACAAGTGAAAAAGCGTTAAGTTCGACCGGGCTGAAAAAATTGACCTATATTCATAATTTTTTGTCGGGTGATTTGGAACCTACTAAGAACTCAAAGTATTAAATTACAGTCAATTCCGTGGAAAAATACGACCAAAACCCCCACAATACTGAGGTATATGGGGACTACCAGAAAAAGTAAGCCTATATTTATATATTTTTTTTAAGACATTTAGTACCCAATAAGAACCCAATGTACCAAATTTCAGTGAATTCGGTTGAAAACGCGCTCAAGAACCCCAAAATACCGAAAATTTGGGGGTACCCTTATATGGGAGCTATGCCTAAACGTAGACCGATATATCCCATCTTCGAACTTGACCTGCCTGCAGACAAAAGACAACCCTATGCAAAATTTGCACCCTATCTCAATTACTTCGGAAGATAGCGTGATTACAACAGACGGACGGACAGACGGACGGACATGGCTAGATCGTCTTAGAATTTTACGCTGATCAAGAATATATATACTTTATAGGGTCGGAAATGAATATTTCGATGAGTTGCAAACGGAATGACAAAATTTATATACCCTCCATACTATGGTGGAGGGTATAAGAAGTGAGCGGAGCAGTATAGTCGGACGGGGCCGACCATACGATACCCTACACAACTACCACAGAACTCTGTCTTTCTGCGGATTTTTATTCCGAGCCTGGGTAATATTTCATGATAGTTGCATCCTATTGCCCTATTAGAGGTCAACAGCACCTCTTCCTTACTCTGACATATTTTCCGAATATTACCAATGTTAAGTACAGCCCTTCAAATTATTACTTGTCCATATTCCCTTCACCGTAGGTTGCGTTGTGATGTTCGGCTTATAATTGTAGACTATAGATCGAATCGAAAAAAAAACACAAAGAAATAAGTTTTTGGTCCACTTCATTCCAAAATTATTATCTGATCCTCAGCGAAAATTATAGGCGTTGTCCTTGACCATAACTAGAACCTCATGGAACATCGCTATATTTCAGCCCTCTAGTGTGTTAATGGTTTATTAAATAATATGTGAATACGTAAACACCTGTAAATGTTTACGTGTAACTCCCACATCCGAGTACATACGAGAATATAATTGGTATCAATTTAAAGGCCAACCACTCCTCTTGGATATAGTATCAACTTCTCGGCTCTATGTCCTTCAGGGGTAGATATATAGAATACAAATTTTCTCATTTTTCACACAAAAGTCAGGGTCCATTTGACCCGCTAAATATTGACCGATCCTTATCAAAACAGGCATGCTTATTCTTTGATCCAATCCCCTTCTCTATGTAAAAATTCGAGATGTTTGGTCCATAATTGCGGCTTCTAGAGCGACCAGAAAAACCGACAAAAATTAAGTATTTGGTCCATTTCATACCCTAAACATCAACCGATCATTACCAAAAACAATAGGCCAGAACCCATCCCACATGCAAAATTTCGTGAAGATTGTTCCATAACTGTGGCCTGTATCGTGTTTACAAATTATAACGATTGGACACATGTCTAGATCGATTCAGCTAGTCGAGATATGACGATCGGCATACTTAAAGGTGGGTGTAGGACCAATATATCGCGGCGTTACAAACTCTTGGGTCTACACAAAGCTCTAATACCCTGACAGCATAGTTGTGTACAAATTATATGGGTCCTCAAAAACATATTTTAAAAATCCTCACCTTTAAACATCCTCAAAATGGATATGTGTGTCCTTTGGAATTGTTCTGTAGATCCTTTAAAAGCTTTTAAATAAATTATTGCCGCTCTGTTGTTTCCGAACATCCTGAAATTATTGTTACCTGAAATTATTGTCCAAAATTTGGTTTTATTGCATTTTGTGTCCTTACAATTATGGCAAGGAGGTTTAAGGTTCTTTTCTATTATTCTATTGTACAAAAAGTTATAACAAACTTTATGACATGATGAGAAGCTAACCTTCTCCCTGAAAAAATAAGAAAAAAACATTTTGCGAAATATTGTTGACTCTGTGATGCTTGGGCGTATCCTGTGCCAACACTTTTATTAACGGAAGTAATCTTTATTTTATTTTTGTTCTTGTTTTGTTTTTTGTTTTTCTTCATCCGTTTATGGTGTTTCATCACTTTTCTGATTTGCTGTCCTCTTTGAAATGAAACTCTAATGAAACTTTAGCTGATTGTAGGTAAAAGGATGCTTTTCATCATCATCAACATCGTTTTCTTCACTTCGCAACTTTTTTTACATTTGGCCAAATTGCATTTGTGCGCGGTGTGGGTGTGTGTGCGTGTGGTTTTTATTTGTTTCCTGTTTTACAGGATAATTTAAAAAAGATGTCATCCTTTTGACATCAACCGTCATAATTGTGGTTAAGATGGGATGAGATGAGAAAAATCTGAAAGACAAAAAATAAAAAAAAGTTAGAAAATATTTTTGTAGAATAATTTTTTTAAAAAATCCACGCCTGTTGTTAGACCTACAAAAACATTTTTAAAAAATGAATGCTTATTGTTAGGCCTTCAAATAAATATATAATAAAAATATTTTTTATAAAATACACACCTATTGTTAGGGGTCTAAAAATATGTTTTTTAATAATACAAGCCTATTTTCAGGCATCTAAAATATTTAAAAAAAAATCAACGCCGATTGTGGGGCCTCTAAAAATATTTAAAAAAAAATACCCTCCCATATTTGGCTTTGGGAAACCCCGGATGTTTCATTTGTTTTTTGTTTTTACAAAGTAGGTCTTATCGCTTTGAATACGTAATGATTCGCGATTCCAAAACGAATGAATGCGGTTTGTTTTGTTTTTTATTATGCAAAAAAAAAAAAAAAAAAACAACAACAACAATGATTTTTTGTTTATTTCAATGAGTCACTCATATTTACTCATACGTATAGAATCAGCGATAAGCCAAATACTTAGCAACTATTGATAACAAATGAAACGAAAAAGGTAAGGTAAAAAAGAGGATTTTTTTTTAAATATTTTTAGGGGTCCACAAGTCGGCGCCGATTTTTTAAATATTTCTGTCTGTCTGTCCATGTTAAATTGTAAACAAAGTACAGGTTGCATTTATGATACGATTTAGATGAAATTTGGCATAGGTCACTTATTTGGACCAAGGAAGAACCCTATTGAAATTGGGAAAAATCGGTTCAGATTTAGATATAGCTCCCATATATATTTTCGGCCGATTTAATGTATATGGTGTATTAAAGTCCAAAGGTCCCAAGGTCTAGAATGATGTGTGTTAAGTTTCCTGAAAATCGGTTCAGATTTAGATGTAGCTCCCATTTGCTTCCCTTTGCTTTAAATTGATTTACCTAATTTTGTACCTGGTCCTTCAAAAATTCGACGTCTGTTAGAATTCATCTGATCGATATACTCAACTACTTTACTACTTTCCTTACTGGTTTAAAAATATGTTTTAGTAGTCAACATTAAGCGTCGATTTTTATGATATATTTTTTTAGACTGTGACTAATTTTTATACCTTTCACCACACTGTGGTACAGGGTATTATGTTCTTGTGCATATGTTTCTAACAGGAAAAAGGAAACGAGACAGACATATGGTTCCTTTTAAGAATACGCATAGAATCACTTATAAGTCGATCTATGCGTGTCCGTCCGTCCGTCTGTATGTCCATGTTAAATTGTAAACAAAGTACAGGTCGCATTTATATTCCGAATTGGATGAAATTTGTCACAGGTCACTTATTCGGCTTTTGAAATTGTGACCAAAGTACCTACATATCCTTCGATTTGCATGACATTTGGTAAAGCGTACTGAACTCAGTCTATGGTGTGTGTTAAGTTTCGTGAAAATCGATCTTATTTCGATATAGATCGTCCGATTTGAGGTAAACAGTGCACCAAAGTACCTATATATCCTTCGATTTGCTCGAAGTTTGGCATAGCCTACTGAACTGAGTCTAGCACGATGAGTGGTATGTTTCGTGAAAATCGGTTCAGATTTAGGTATAACTCCCATATATAGTTTCGTCCGATCTGAGGTAAATAGTACACCAAAGTACCTATATATCCATCGATTTGCTCGAAGTTTGGGATAGCGTACTGAATTGAGTGTAGCATGATGAGTGGTAAGTTTCGTGAAAATCGGTTCAGATTTAGGTATAGCTCCCATATATAGTTTCGTCCGATTTAATGTAAATGGAGCACCAAAGTCCCTATGTATCCTCAGATTTTCACGAAATTTGGCATAACGTACTGAATTGAGGCTAGAATGATGTCTGCCAAGTTTCATGAAAACCGGTGCAGATCTATATATAGCTCCCATATAGATTTTCGCCCGATTTAATGTAAATGGTGCACCAATGCCCCTATATATCGTTCAATTTGCACGAATTTCGGCATAGTGTACTTAATTTTATCCAGAATGATGTGTGCCAAGTTTTGTGAAAATCGGTTGAGATTTAGATATAGCTCCCTTATAAATTATCGAGTGATTTTAAGTAATTGGCTGATTTGAACCAAACTTACTTAAATTAGTTTAAGGGGACCCCCCCCCCCAAAATAAAAATGTTTTTAATATAATCCGTGTCTACTCTAATTTTAAAATGTTTCTACAAAATTTCAAGTGAAAATCTCATGAACTCTTGAAGATATAGCCGATTTATTTTGTCAGTATAAGTGACGACAAGAGTGATTCTCTAACTTTAAACGCATTTTCTCGAAGCAGTTTTTTACGAATGGCGGGCACGATAACTCAAAAACTAATAATCCAAACGGTTCCAAATTGTGACATGTTTTTCTGAGAGTTTATGGCTCTCGTATGAACTAGGATAAAGCCAATCGGTGAATATCTTCCTTATTTTTTAACTTAGTTTGTGGTAAAAAATAGGCGATTGCTCAAAAAAAAAAAAAAAAAAAAATTCAAAGATCCGCCATTTTGTTAATTGTTGTGCGAAGTCAATAATCCGACGAGAGCCAGATATGTACCCTGTGCAACACCGTTGGAATTGTCGGATTCCGATGTTCCAGTTATCATGCCCGCCATCAAAAATAAGGACTTTTCTTTGATCACAAAAAACAACAACAAAAAAATTCTAAATTATTTTTCTTAATTTTTAAATCTTCAAATATATATGTGAACAGTTGCAAACCTTAACAAGCATTGGTATTCATTTACCAGCCTATTTGAAATCTTAAAAATAAAAAATTGAGAATGGGGGGGAGATTCCCTTAACCTAGCCTGTGACAAGTTTCGTTGAAATCGGTTCATATTTGGATATAGCATCCATATATATTTTCGTGCGATTTTAAGTAAAATTAGGCATAGAATTACGTACTTCTAGAAGTACAGACATAGCCCAATGGATGTCCTATTGATAATTGTTTGAAGTCGATTTACATACGTTTGTCCCATTGTAACAAACGAATGACATGTTTATGGGTTGATTTAAGTCGTTCATCCAATTTCATGTTAATAGTCCAGTTTAATATACTTATAGTGGTGAATTGCAGCATATAGTCGGGCCCGTCCGACTTTACCACTTTCCTTACTTGAATATTTTAAATATTTTTTACAACTATGACTAATTTTGTGTTTTCGTTTTATTTTTGAAAAAATAAAAATGTTGATGCATATGTTTTCTGTAATAAATCATTTTTTCGATAAAATAAAAAAATATATATATATATATATATATATATATGTATTTTTTTTTTTGTAATGTAATTTTTGTTGTTTTTGAACCCATTAACGAGATAAAGTAAACCTCTAACTGTCCATGTGAATATATCGATATCTGCTTATTGCTGTATTTTGTTTTTTTTTTTTTTTTGAAATAAAATTCCCCCTTCTGCTTTAATCATTTGATAAGATACCCGACATATATTTCTGATATGAAGTTCCATACCATATTAACCCGTACACGTTGTCCACTGGAACTTTAGTATTAATTGGACGGAGCAAGCGATCTAATTGAAAGTTTCAAAGAAAAAATATAAATTTTTTGTATACCTAGTGAAAAGTTAAAAAAAAAAAATTCGACAAAATGATGATGGGTGAGAATTTGTGTTTAAAAAATATTAAATAAATAAAACATTTTTGTGTGTGAACATATTGTCATCTCTCGTGGTGAATATTCATTTTCATAAGTGGTGATGGTGTTTTGAAAAAAAAAAAAATTATATGAAATATTCAAGCATCTCATGATAATTGAGGCCTTTTTTAAGTCTTCTCAAAAAAAATTTTAAAAAATACCCTGTACCACAGTGTGGTGAAGGGTATAAAAATCCGTGGCTATTGTTGGTGTTCCAAAAATATTTCAAATTGCTTTATGGCCTATGTTGGTCATTGTTAGGCCTCTAAAAATAATTTTGAAAAATGTACCGACATTGTTGTTCGTCTAAAACCTGTTTAAACCAGTAAGGAAGATAGTAAAGTCGGACTGTGCCAACTATATGATACCCTTCACCACTTTGGGTGTATTGTACATATAGCATGTCAATGCTCTTTGTGCATGTCTTTCTGCAACCTATGATAAATTTAATTTCATTCAGGCCGATTTAGACGAAAATATGGAAAAGGCTTTATAGCAAAGTTTATACAAGCTATTCCGTACGCTGTACATTTAATTTCAATCAGACTCCCGTTCGAAATACATATGGAAGCTATGACTGCATCTGCACCAATTTCAACCAAACCCCAATAAAGTCAATCAAGTCTCAATTCGATACATTGTGCAAAATTTCGTGTTAATCGGACAAACAACAGGATTTTGATGCACCATCTATGTAAAATTGGACGAAAATATATATGGGAGCTATACCTAAATCTGAACGGATCTTTATGAAATTTGGCACATATCATTCTAGACCTAATTCATTAAGCTGTGCCAAATTTCGTGCAAATCGAAAGACATATAGGGACTTTGGTACACCATTTACATTAAATCGGACGAAAATATATATATCTAAATCTGAACCGATTTTCACGAAACTTAGCACACATTATTCTAGGCTTAATTCAGTACGCTATGCCAAAATTCGTGCAAATCGAAAGATTTTCAGGGACTTTGGTGTACCATTTACCAAAAATCGGTTGAAACTATATATGGGAGCTATATCTAAATCTGAACCGATTTTCACGAAACTTAACACACATCATTCTAGACCTAATTTTTTACGCTGTGCCAAATTTCCTCCAAATCGAAAGATATACAAGGACTTTGGTGTACCATTTACGAAAAATCGGGTGAAACTATATATGGGAGCTATATCTAAATGTGAATCGATTTTCACGAAACTAAGCACACATCATTCTAGACTTAATTCAGTACGCTATGCCAAAATTCGTGCAAATCGAAAGATTTTCAGGGACTTTGGTGTACCATTTACCAAAAATCGGTTGAAACTATATATGGGAGCTATATCTAAATCTGAACCGATTTTCACGAAATTTAACACACATAATTGTAGACTAAATTCAGTAGGCTGTGCCAAAATTCGTGCAAATCGAAAGATTTTGAGGGACTTTGGTGCACCATATACCGTAAATCTGACGAAACTATATATGGGAGCTATATCTAAATCTGAACCGATTTTCTCGAAACTTAGCACAGGTCATTCTAGACCTAATTAATTACGCTGTGCTAAATTTCGTGCAGATCGAAAGATATTTAGGGACTTTGGTGCACCATTTACCTTAAATCGGACGAAAATATATATGGGAGTTATATCTAAATCTGAATCGATTTTCACGAAACTTGGCACACATCATTCTAGACCTAATTAATTACGCTGTGCCAAATTTCGTGCAGATCGAAAGATATTTAGGGACTTTGGTGCACCATTTACCTTAAATCGGAAGAATATATATATATGCGAGCTATATCTAAATCTGAACCGATTTTCACGAAACTTTGCACACATTATTATAGACGCAATTCAGTACGCTATGCTAAATTTCGTGCAAATCGAAAGATATATAGGTACTTTGGTTCACCATTTACCTTAAATCGGATGAAAATATATATGGGAGCTATATCTAAATCTGAACCGATTTTCTCGAAAATTGGCACACATTATTCTGTAACTAATTCAGTACGCTATGCCGAATTTCGTGCAAATCGAAACATATATAGGGACTTTGGTGTCCCATTTACCTTAAATCGGACGAAAATATATATGGGAGCTATATCGAAATCTGCACCGATTTTCAGGAAACTTTGCACACATTATTTTAGACCTTATTCATTACGCTGTGCCAAATTTCGTGCAAGTCAAAAGATTTCCAAGGACATTAGTGGACTATTTACCTAAAATCGGACGAAGCTATATCTAAATCTGAACCGATTTTCACGAAACTTAACACACATCATTCGGACGGTCATGCATAAATCGACTTAAAAAGTGATTCTATGCATATTCTAAAAAGGAACCATATGTCTATTTCGTTTCCTTTTGCCTGTTACAAGCATATGTACAAAGGCATAATACCCTGTACCACAGTGTGGTGAAGGGTATAAACACACGCCTATTTTTAGGCCTGGCCTTAAAAAATATTTTAAGCAAACAATACGGCGATTAGTTTAAAAAAAAAAATATTTTTTTTAACAACCAATAAGGCGTTGATTAAAAAAATAAACAAACAACAATGCGTCGAGTTTTTTAAAGAATATTTTAACAAACTACAAGGCGTGTTTTTTTTAATATTCCACCAGGCTTAAAAATATTTTTTTAACAATCCACCAGTCGTGGATTTTTTAATAACAATTTTTTTTATTTTACAAAAAAAAAAAAAAAAAAAATCACCCACACCCTCTTCACTTCCATTTCATTCTTTTCCATTCTATAAAATTATTTTTATGCACTCTCTGTTTGTCTGCGGCACAATTTTTATCTGTTTCTTGTTGTTGTTTTTTTTGTGAATTTTTTTTCTAGGTTCTTATCACCCTGGAGGTGTTATCGTCGGTAATCGTACGTTAATGTTTCCAATGCACAATTTATATTTACTTATCAGCACCTAAGGCACACACAAACTACACAATGACAGCTCTGCCAATAAAAACAATAACAACAACAAAATTTATAAGTCAAATATTTAATGAGTAAATAGCTGAATTTCTTGGAATTATTTTTTTTGTTCTTGAATTTTTTTTGATTCCCTAATTCCCAGTGATTGATAGTTTAATATTTTTTGTCGTTTTTTTTTTTTCGTTTTCCAGAAACTACTACATGGGTTCAATCGTCACCTGCTGCTCCCCTGCCACCGTTCGCCGTTATTGGTGGCCACGATTGTGATGGTACACCAATTTATGTCGGACGTGCCTTCCACGAGGGCGATAATCTACCCGCCAAGGTTGTACCCAGCAAAGGTCAGGCCTACGTCTGCTGGGGTGGCATGGAACATGTCAAATTTCAATATGAAATTTTGGTAGGCCAGGGTTACGGTTGGCAACCCTGCTACAACGGGGCCGTACCCCCAAATGCTGTACGCAGTGGCATGACCAGGACGGGTGAGCCCCTATATGTGGGTCGTGGCCACTACGCCAATTCGTTGTGCGTTGGCAAAATCCATCAATCCCATGGCTGTCTGTACATTCCATTTGGAGGTCAAGAAATTCGCCTCAACACCTATGAAGTTCTGGTCTTTGAACATGTCAACAATTGGGTGGCCTCAACGCCCAATTATACACCACCCGGTGCAGTTGTGGCTGGCCATGATACAGATCGTGCTGTCATCTATGTTGGTCGGGCCATGCACGAAGGTGAACTATTGCCGGCCAAAATTATACCCAGCAAAGGATGTGCCTATGTCTGTTACGGTGGCTACGAGATCAACAAGCGCAACTTTGAGGTATTGTGTGGACCAGGCTATGCCTGGATAAAACCGCATCATCATGTCATACCGTCAAATGCCGTGTCCACTGGTCGTTCGCGCAATGGTGAACCGTTGTTTGTGGGACGGGGTCATCATCACGGCAGTTTGACTCCGGGTCTGGTGTCGGTTAGCCAGAGATGTTTGTTCATACCCTATGGTGGACGTGAGATTCGCATTAGTGATTATGAAGTTTTGATTAAGCAATAAGTAGACATGAGAAAAACAAATTATTATTTAATTATATTTCCAATTGTACAGTTAACTTATTAAAAAATATATATTTAAAAAATAAACGAAAAATTAAACTCAAAAGGCATGGATTTTTTTTTTAATATTTTCTAAGGCATCTTCGCAAAGCGTGGATTTAAAAAAAAAAATCTGGCGTCTTCACACGACGTGGATTTTTTTTAAATATTTTCTAAGGCATATTCACTAGGCGTGGATTTTTTTAAAAATATTTTTTAAGGCATCTTCACTAGATGTGGATTAAAAAAAATCTTTTCTAAGGCATCTTCACTAGATGTGGATTAAAAAAAATCTTTTCTAAGACATCTTTACAAGGCGTGGATTTTTATACCCTTCACCACACTGTGGTACAGGGTATAATGTGTTTGTGCATATGTATGTAACAGGCAAAAATAATTGAGATAGACCCATGGTTCCTTTTGAGAATATGCATAGAATCACTTTCTGAGTCGATTTATGCATGTCTGTCTGTCCGTCCATGTATTTTTGTTAAACAAGTGCACGTCGCATTTATGATCCGATTTAGATGAAATTTGGCACAAGCCACTTAATTGGCCCAAGGACGAACGTTATTGAAAATGGGAAAAATTGGTTCAAATTTAGATATAGCTCCCATATATATTTTCGTCCGATTTAAGGTAAATGGTACAACAAAGTTCCTATACATCTTTCGATTTGCACGAAATTTGGCACAACGTAATGAATAAGGCCTAGAATGATGTGTGCTGAGTTTCATGAAAATCGGTTCAGATTTAGATATAGCTCCGATATATAGTATCGTCCCATTGTAGGTAAAAGGTGCACCAAAGTCCCTATATATCTTTCGATTTGCACGAAATTTGGCATAACGTACTGAATTATGTCCAGAATGATGTGTGCCAAGTTTCGAGAAAATCAAGTAAGATTTAGATATAGCTCCCATATATATATTCGTTCGATTTTAGGTAAATAGGCCACTAAGGTCCCTATATATTTCGCTTTGCACGAAATTTGGCAAATCGTAATGAGTAAGGTCTAGAATTGTGTGTGTTAAGTTTCATGAAAATCGGTTCAGATTTAATATAGCTCCCATATATAGTTTCGTCCGATTTTAGGTAAATGGTGCACCAAAGTCCCTATATATATTTTGATTTGTACGAAATTTGGCACAGCGTAATGAATAAGGTCTAGAATGATGAGTGCAAAGTTTCGTGAAAATCGGTTCAGATTTAGATATAACTCCCATATATATTTTCGTCCGATTTAAGGTAAATAGTGTGCCAAAGACCCTATATATCTTTGGATTTGCACGAAATTTGGCACAGAGTACTAAATTAGGCCCAGAATGATGTGTGCTAAGTTTCGAGAAAATCGGTTCAGATTTAGATATAGCTCCCTTATATACTTTCGCCCGATTTTAGGTAAATAGGCCACTAAAGTCCCTATATATCTTTCGATTTCCACGAAATTTGGCACAACGTACTGAATTAGGTCCATAATGATGTGTGCTAAGTTTCGAGAAAATCGGTGCAGATTTAGATATAGCTCCCATATATAGTTTCGTCCGATTTAAGGTAAATGGTGCACCAAAGTCCCTATATATCTTTCGATTTGCACGAAATTTGGCACAGCGTAATTAATAAGATCTAGAATGATGTGTGTTAAGTTTCGTGAAAATCGGTTCAGATTTAGATATAGCTCCCATATATATATTCGTCCGATTTTAGGTAAATAGGCCACTAAGGTCCCTATATATTTCGCTTTGCACGAAATTTGGCAAATCGTAATGAGTAAGGTCTAGAATTGGGTGTGTTAAGTTTCATGAAAATCGGTTCAGATTTAATATAGCTCCCATATATATATATATATATATATTCATCCGATTTTATGTAATTGGTGCACGAATTTTGGTATAGGGTACTGAATTAAGTCTAGAATGATGTATGCAAGCTTCGTGAAAAGATCCATAGCTAGGCCGATTGACACATCGTACTGAAGTAATATAAATTAGCCTCTGGCAAGTTTCCTTGAAATCGGTTCAGATATAGATATATAACAAACACGCGACGTCTGTTAGGATACATATATAGAATATACCCAAAGTGGTGAAGGGTATCATATAGTCGGCCCAGTCCGACTTTACTACTTTCCTTATTAGTTTTTTAAATATTTTCTAAGGCAACTTCACAAGACGTGGATTAAAAAAAAATAATTTTTAAGATATCTTTACAAGGCGTGGATTTTTTTAAAATTATTTTCTAAGGCATCATCACAAAGCTCAGATTTTTTAAAAAATATCTTCTAAGGCATCTTCTTTTTATATAGAGCCCCAAAATTTTGCATAGAGTCGTCTTTTGTCTGCAGGCAGGTCAAGTTCGATGATGGGCTATATCGGTCCACGTTTAGGCATAGCTCCCATATAAGGGTACCTCCCATTTTTCGGTATTTTGAAGTTCTTAAGCGTGTTTTTCAACCGAATTCGCTGAAATTTGGTACATTGGGTTCTTATTGGGTACTAAATGCCTCCACAAAAAATTATTAGTGTAGGTCCACTTTTTCTGGTAGCCCCCATATAACGGTACCTCCTAATTTTCGGTATTTTGAGGTTCTTGAGCGCGTTGTTCAACCGAATTCGCTGAAATTTGGTACATTGGGTTCTTATTGGGTACCAAATGTCCCTACTAAAAAATATATATATAGGTCCAATTTTTCTGGTAGCCCCCATATAAGGGTACCTCCCCATATCCAGTTTTTGGGGGGTTCTGACCGTATTTTTTCACCGAATTGGCTGAAATTCGGTACTTTGAGTTCTTATTGGGTAGCAAATCTTTGTACTAAAAATTATAAATATAGGTCAATTTTTTCTGGTAGCCCCCATATAAGGGTACCCCCCAATATTCGGTATTTTGGGGATCTTGAGCGCGGTTTCCAACCGAATTCGCTGAAATTTGGTACATGGGGTTCTTATTGGGTACCAAATTTCCCCTCTAAAAATGATAAATATAGGTCCACTTTTTCTGGTAGCCCCCATATAAGGGTACCTCCCAATTTCCAGTTTTTGGGGGGTTTTGACCGGATTTTTTCACCTAATTGACTGTAATTTAGTAATTTGAGTTCTTATTGGGTCGCAAATCTCTTCACAGAAAATTATAAATATAGGTCAATTTTTTCGGGTAGCCCCCATATAAGGGTACCCCCAATTTTCGATATTTTGAGGTTCTTGAGCGGGTTTTCCAACCGAATTCGCTGAAATTTGGTAATTTGTAGTCGTATATGGTAACAAATCTCCCCACCAAAAATTATTAATATTTACCGCTTTTTAGGGGTAGTCCCCATATAACCCCCTTTTTATACCCTCCACCATAGTATGGAGGGTATATTAGTTTTGTTTTTCCGTTTGTAACGCATCGAAATAATCATTTCCGACCCTATAAAGTATATATATTCTTGATCAGCGTAAAATTCTATGACGATCTAAGCATGTCCGTCTGTCCGTCTGTCCGTCTGTCTGTCTGTCTGTCCGTCTGTCTGTTGTAATCACTCTAGCGTCTAAACGAATTGAGATAGAGCCCCAAAATTTTGCATAGAGTCGTCTTTTGTCTGCAGGCAGGTCAAGTTCGATGATGGGCTATATCGGTCCACGTTTAGGCATAGCTCCCATATAAGGGTACCTCCCATTTTTCGGTATTTTGAAGTTCTTAAGCGTGTTTTTCAACCGAATTCGCTGAAATTTGGTACATTGGGTTCTTATTGGGTACTAAATGCCTCCACAAAAAATTATTAGTGTAGGTCCACTTTTTCTGGTAGCCCCCATATAACGGTACCTCCTAATTTTCGGTATTTTGAGGTTCTTGAGCGCGTTGTTCAACCGAATTCGCTGAAATTTGGTACATTGGGTTCTTATTGGGTACCAAATGTCCCTACTAAAAAATATATATATAGGTCCAATTTTTCTGGTAGCCCCCATATAAGGGTACCTCCCCATATCCAGTTTTTGGGGGGTTCTGACCGTATTTTTTCACCGAATTGGCTGAAATTCGGTACTTTGAGTTCTTATTGGGTAGCAAATCTTTGTACTAAAAATTATAAATATAGGTCAATTTTTTCTGGTAGCCCCCATATAAGGGTACCCCCCAATATTCGGTATTTTGGGGATCTTGAGCGCGGTTTCCAACCGAATTCGCTGAAATTTGGTACATGGGGTTCTTATTGGGTACCAAATTTCCCCTCTAAAAATGATAAATATAGGTCCACTTTTTCTGGTAGCCCCCATATAAGGGTACCTCCCAATTTCCAGTTTTTGGGGGGTTTTGACCGGATTTTTTCACCTAATTGACTGTAATTTAGTAATTTGAGTTCTTATTGGGTCGCAAATCTCTTCACAGAAAATTATAAATATAGGTCAATTTTTTCGGGTAGCCCCCATATAAGGGTACCCCCAATTTTCGATATTTTGAGGTTCTTGAGCGGGTTTTCCAACCGAATTCGCTGAAATTTGGTAATTTGTAGTCGTATATGGTAACAAATCTCCCCACCAAAAATTATTAATATTTACCGCTTTTTAGGGGTAGTCCCCATATAACCCCCTTTTTATACCCTCCACCATAGTATGGAGGGTATATTAGTTTTGTTTTTCCGTTTGTAACGCATCGAAATAATCATTTCCGACCCTATAAAGTATATATATTCTTGATCAGCGTAAAATTCTATGACGATCTAAGCATGTCCGTCTGTCCGTCTGTCCGTCTGTCCGTCTGTCTGTCTGTCTGTCTGTCTGTCCGTCTGTCTGTTGTAATCACTCTAGCGTCTAAACGAATTGAGATAGAGCCCCAAAATTTTGCATAGAGTCGTCTTTTGTCTGCAGGCAGGTCAAGTTCGATGATGGGCTATATCGGTCCACGTTTAGGCATAGCTCCCATATAAGGGTACCTCCCATTTTTCGGTATTTTGAAGTTCTTAAGCGTGTTTTTCAACCGAATTCGCTGAAA